CATCAGCAGTAGCAGCAGCAGTAGTAGCAATACCAGCAGCAGCAATAGCAACAATAGCAGCAATAGCAACAATAGCAGCAATAGCAGCAGTAAGAGAATGTAAAAGAGAAGGGAGGACTACATAATAATGTCTTAGCTGCTGGTGACACCCCGCACCTTATTCTACATGTCCGTAATACCATTCCCATCTCCACCACCACCACCACCAGGAAATGTGGCAACGGGACCATCAACGGTACTGCAGAGTGGCTCTGTCTTCCTAACATTGGTCAGAACCCTAACCACGACTTCACCAGCTTTGACAACTTCGGCATGGCTTTGCTGTGTGCTTTCAGGCTCATGACACAAGACTTCTGGGAGAGCCTCTACCACCTGGTAAGTTATGCATCACACCTTTTTGTACCTTATTTTATTGTAACCTAATAATTTAATAATAAATTTAAAATCTGAGAAAATATGAGTGCATCAGGGCCGAGAGGGGGGGGGGAGATAGAGAGCGGGGAGAGAAAGCTTAAAAGAATGGGTGAAAGGTCATTTGTATACCCCGTCCCTTGTTCTAAATCATTGTTTGACTTGTCTGGCTATTGATTCAGTACAATTTAAAGTCATCACTTTAGTCTGACTTCTCTATAGTTTTTTGGCTTAATGGGTTGTTAAGTTGGTTAAATGGACAAGCAATTCTTTGATTGATTTGTTGTTTGTATGATTGATTTTTCGTTCATTCTTAGTCCAGTGCACTGATAAAGTCACTTGTGTCATTAACAGCTCACTGGCAGAAAGACTTTTACGACGAGTGGCAAGTCTGCGGAAATGGCACAGGGGCAGGGTGAGTGCTGGCTTACATTTTGGTAAAAGTAAAATATACCCCTCCCCCCCAAAAAAAAATTGGAAATGTTTTACTTAGAGCGCAGTGCCCAGGTCACTGTGGGGGTTAGACTTGATTGGCTGGGTGGGGGGATTGTTGTTTTTCTAAACTTTCATATATTTTACTTGCAAACTCTCCTTGCACCATCATATAAACCATCTATGTAAGGTAATTTATCTAGAACTACGCAGAATAGGATAAATGTCAACATATCTTAGTGTTGATTCCATCAAAACCCTCATCTCTTCTTTTGTCCTTTCACGTCTAGACTACTGTAATTCTTTGTTTGGAAACTTTCCCACTGAAACGTTAAATAGATTACAGCGACTCCAGAACCAAGCTGCTTGCATAATTTTAAAGAAATCTCTCAAAGAGCATGTAACACCAATGCTAGTTCAACTACATTGGCTCCCGGTGAAAGCACGAATTCAGTACAAAATAATTGTTCTTTGTTTTAAGTGCGTCAACAACATTGCACTTTGTGACATGGTCGTCGAATACATACCATCTCGGCCTTTTTAAGACCTGTCCAAAGTAAAAGTCAGAGACTCGGAGGGAGAGAATTTTCCCACCACGCCCCCTCCTTGTGGAACGC